CATATTGTAGGTTGGTGATTTTTTTAGAGTGGTATTATGGGTGATTGTCATAAGCTTGGCATTATTGTGTTGAGGTTGTAATTTAAGGAGTTGTATTAATAGCCATTTTGTGGCCTTTGTTATTATAACTATTCCTTCTTAAATTGTGCCATGTTATAAAAACTTGTATATAGTAGACTGTCAGATGTTGCCTGGATTGTTTTGTGTTTGTATATTGTTTTACTGATGTTGTCCTTGATCATTTTTTTTATATATGTACCTATTACTATCTGTACATGAAGTTTTTAAATAAAATATAAAAAAAAAAGTCAGAGAAGGTCTATCCTAGGCATCTATCGAAATGTGACCCAGCATGGTGAGGAAACAGTAAGGAAATTGGTAGAGACCCTGTAAATTGTCCAAGAAAAGGTTAGCGTGTCCTATCTTCAGGTACAAAAAAGTAACCGCTACTCTTTCTGATCTGATAGGCCTACTAAGCGTTCTCTTACGAAAGGTCAGATTCATGTGGGCCACAAGTTAAAGACATATGCTTAGTGCTTTCTTTGTAGAAGCCTCCACCTCTACCTGGCCATTAAAAGGAATAGTGAAAGTTCTTGACTGACCACTACTTACTGAAGGGCAAACCAATGGATTACAAGAATGCATGGATTATAAGCTTAACTAGACACTCCTCCCCCTCCCCCTCCCCCACACCACCCCCACACACAACTGCTGCAGCATACGGGCGCCTGGCAAACCTACGGATAGCGTTCCGATACCTCAGTAAGGATTCGTTCAAGAGACTATACCATTAACGTCAGGCCCATACTGGAGTATGCAGCACCAGTTTGGAATCCACACCTACTCAAGCACGTCAAGAAATTAGAGAAAGTGCAAAGGCTTGCAACAAGACTAGTCCCAGAGCTACGGGGATTGTCCTACGAAGAAAGGTTGAGGGAAATCGGCCTGACGACACTGGAGGACAGGAGGGTCAGGGGAGACATAACGACATAAAATACTGCGCGGAATAGACAAGGTGGACAAAGACGGGATGCTCCAGAGATGGGACACGGACACTGGAGGTCACAATTGGAAGTTGAAGACTGATGACTCGAAGGGATGTTAGGAAGTATTTCTTCAGAGTAGTCAGGCCTTGGAATAGCCTGGAGGGTGACGTAGTGGAGGCAGGAACCATACATAGTTTTAAGGCGAGGCATGATAAAGCTCATGGGGCAGGGAGAGAGAGGACCTAGTAGCAATCAGCGAAGAGGCGGGGCCAGGAGCTGTGACTACCCCTGCAACCACAAATAGGCGAGTACAAATAGGCGAGTACGTACGTGTACACGTACACGTACGTACACACACGTACACGTACACACACGTACACACGTACGTACACACACGTACACGTACACACACACGTACACACACACGTACACACACACGTACACACACACGTACACACACACGTACACACACACGTACACACACACGTACACACACACGTACACACACACGTACACACACACGTACACACACACGTACACACACACGTACACACACACGTACACACACACGTACACACACACGTACACCACACGTACACACACACGTACACACACACGTTACACACACAGTACACACACACGTACACACACACGTACACACACACGTACACACACAGTACACACACACGTACACACACGTACACACACACGTACACACACACGTACACACACACGTACACACACACGTACACACAAAACGGACAGCAAATAGTTTCCTAAAATTCCCGTTCATTACTAAAGGGGTTTGTTAACACTAAACACTAATTTGAGGCAATTTTAAAATAAAAATTAATTTCAGTAAAATTAAGACTGAAGGAAAAATTTTTAGAACTCTAAGGAGCTTCAAGAAAACTACAGTTGAAGGGGAAAATTAGTCTACAATTTATTATGGTTTGGGAAATTTTTCCCTGCAGTTCCATCTAGGACAACACTCGCCCTCCGGGGGGGTGTGTATTGCAGCTGTGATGGGGTTTTCTGCGTTATGGGGCAGTAGTTCCTACTAATCTTAATTCCCGATCTGTACATCGTGAGGTGCTGCATGGGTCATTTTTTCCATTTCCCCCACATCATACGGTTTCCCAGCTCATCTTCACAACCTCTGCAAGTTAAGGATTATTATCTACCTTAAATATACAAGAATTTTCTTTAACGGGCGAGAGGGGAAGACAACTTGCCTGCGTTCCATTCGTCACAGCATGCCAGTGGTGGTCTGTACGGTGTACACCACTTGCTGGGTCGACTTGCACACTGCACTTTACTGCAGTCAGGTCTGGAATGAAAATTCCAAATTTTTATTGTGCACTGAACATTAATTACTTTCATATATACTAGTAACTGAGCAAGCTACAATCTGTCTAGGGAATTAGACAGCTAGATTTAAAATTACCTCGAGAAGCCTTATGACAAAGTAATAAAGATAGTATAATTTACTTAACTGAAGCTTCAGAATTTCAGTTTACCAATAAATTTTCAGAGGGTTCAACTCCGAAGTCTCCCAGCTATTAGGTGGGCTCGTACTTAAAATCAGACCAGAAGCTTAGTGAAATTATGAAGCACAATTTTATGTTAAGCTATACAAAACTATTCCTTACAGCTATCTTTGCTTGCCAAGAATACGAATCTGATCTGCTGTTGTGACTAATACAATTCTCACTGTTGAAATCAGACCCATACTGAATACGTGCAAATCAAATTTTAAGTTAATAAAACTTTCCAACTACTCTGGCTGAAAGTCTAATCTCAACCCCACCATTATTTAAGGCAAACCAGCAATCTGAATAGCTATTGGAGGATGTGGGGGGGGGGGAGCAGGAATTCTGCTAACAGGCAAACTATATAAACGGTTTGCAGTCATTACGACTGCAAGTTTAAACCATTCAATTTCCAACGCCTAAAGCTTTCGTGACGCATTCACTACCGGTATACCAAGTAAATTCTTCGCATTCCTACCGTTTATCTGAAGTCAATTTTTTCGACTAAAATGCCCACCTTTCGTCGAAGGAAGAGTTCTTAAATGAAAAGAACTAGAGTGGAACTTGTCCCATGAAAGGTTCCTACACAGGAACAGGTACCTCACTCCTGCATTAAAGGTTATTCACTTTATAAACCTTAAGTTAGTTTCGCCGCAAACTTAGTCTTCATGTTAAAAACCATCCACTATCTTGCTTTCAAGGTAACGAAAGTTAGAAGTTTAGGTGCAAAAACTACAAACTAACCCTTATACTCACCCACATCTCCAAGATGGACAACATTTTCCTTCAGAAAACTTTTCACAGTTAGAATGAGGCGGGTCAAGGCATTTCTGAGTAATGGAGAGTATGCCAGCTCTGGTACACTTGTGAGAGACGCAGGGACTGGTATGCCACACGCTGTTCAGCTCGTGATGTACGCCATCCTCAGTAATACATGTACTGGAACAAATTCACTTTCCAAAATAGTTGCAACACTTAGCAATGGAGTAATATGGTTATCTGGAGGGATAAACTTAGGTATTACACAGATTGGGGGGGGGGGGCAGCCGAATGGAAGGCATTCACTCTAATTCAGGGTATTTCAGCATAAATCTTGTTTTCTTTATCAAGAACTTTAACCAACATCAAGACTCTCTTGAGGGTCTACACAAGAAAAAAAAGTCGAAAGGTTTTAATTAATTTTGTGGAAAATACTGTTTTATTTTCCAGAGATTACAGTAGTTATTTGTACATAGATGGCCATATGTATTTGTCAAAAAAAAAAAACAAAAAAAAAAAAAAAAAAAAAATTTTACTGCGTGAAGGACAGTGCCATTTTGGTTTGAAATTTGGATTAGAAAGTTTGTAATGGAAGATTTTTTCCGTGCTCTGAGGCTAAAAATGGGTCGAACACCTCAAATAGGAGACTAAATTGTTGGATGTGCATTTACTGCATAACTTGATATATCAGGCGATGGGACAAGACAGCGCAGGAACTCAGATAAGTTGTTATGTTATATCATGGCAGTTATTTTTCATGTATAGACTGAGGTTTTCACGAGTATATTAGAGTAGAACTTATATCTAGTTCAATTTGGAGAGTGTTATGATTAAGATATATTTTCTGTTATATAAGTGTTGTTATATATTACATATGCCTATAATCCTTTTTTAATTTTAATATACAGTCCACAAATTTATTAATTTCAGCTTTCCTGGTAATGTGTATTTCATTAATAGGTCAGAGTGCAACTTGTGGATTTGACAGTGGTAGGTATCGAGGGGAACATTTTTTGGCGAACCTAGGTGTCCCAAATTTCTACTTGTCTAACTGATAAATAAAATCAATGTTATTTACCGTTATGTTATATGATTACATTCTGATAAATCGGCAATTTTCCATACTTTAATCTTCCAGAAGATAGGAAGTTTGAGTTTGTTACTGTCACTAGCTCTCAGCAATTAAAGAAATTTTAAATGAAAGTATAAACTAGTTTAAACAGCCAGAAATGATTATAATATTTTAGGTCTATGCACTAGAGCTTAAATTTTTGCAACAATGCCAGGTAATGTGTAGAAGTCCCCCCACCCCCATACACTTTGAAACATTTACAAAATTAGCTATTTGGATATCACGAGTTTGCAATGACTAGGTTAAAGGTCAGACGTGTAACTGCAGTACACATTCACAAGTTTTAAAGGAACTGATTTTAATGTCAACTGTTTATACGTTAACATGCTTGCTATTAAAAGTTACTTCAGCAAGATTAGAGTAAACCAATTATAAGGGTATTTGATGAGTACTGTAATAAATCCTGCAGTTCCACTTTGGCCAACAATCTCCCCCTGTGAGTTCCAATGATGTGCATGGCTGGGATGAGGTGGCTGGGGCAAGCGAGGGCGGTGTACATGCACTGTCTTGACACCAGTTGTTGTGTACAAGTGGAAGTTAAGCCATGGGGTTCTTCAGATTTCAACACACTGCCTTGGGCATGATAAATGCATCAACGAAGCAGCCACTGCAAAATTAGATTAAATTAATTGCTCTGAACTTAAGAAGAGTAAGCAAAAGGGTAGAGAAAAAAGCATACCATGGGCGGTGTTAGAACCGGGATCAGTCAAAATTATCTGATCATGGGTTTAACCCCATCCGTTAATATGTTTGCAATCTTATCGTTCGAGTAGTGATAGAACAGACGCATTGAAAGGGTATTCTAAAAGTTTTGATTAATAAACCTAGTTATTACTTCTTCAGGTATTTTAGGACAGGTTCCACTTAACCGCAATGCAAGTAACACTGTTTTCATACAAGACTTGTCCGTAAAACGTTCCAGGTCACAGCCCAGGAGTATGAGCAAATTTAAGAGCAAGGCGAGATCCTAATCATTCATGCTAAGAAATTTGGGTTTCAGGAAGCACCCTTTGGTCGTTGGTAGAGGGGGGACTGATCCATCCTTCCCTCCCCTCACTGCAAATGAACACTGCATCGTGACCAGCGACGGGAAAGTTACGGAAGGTTGAATATTCAGGAAGTTTTCTTAGTAATTACTAAATTGTTAAGTACTGTACTGCTAGCTCGGTTCTACTTTAACTCAGTTACGAAGTCGAGCGCTGCGCCACGTTTTGCACTCCTTCAACGACTATTTCATGACGACTAAGCCACAACATTTAATCATTCAAACTGCAGCCTATCTTATCCATTTATATAATTTCACTACCAAGCTTAGCACAGTTTTAGATCTTTTTCTTTTCAAGTATTAATTAATCCCTACCCAATTTGTGTGTGTAGTGAATAAGTTTAAACTGTAGCCATAATTGGTTAGATATCATTCTGTCAGCAACCATCAAGTGAAAGTTTTAGCAGAAACTTGCCGATTTCATTTCCCTTGGGGAGAATGGCCACTGAAACCACCACGTTAAAGATAACCCATTGTCGGGAAGAGTGTCAGATATGGGCTATTTGTACCACTATTGCAGAAATTGGTAAATATTTGCCCATTCAAATACTTTGAAATTTCATTTTTACGGCCATTGAAGATGTTTAAATCAGCAAAAACTAGCAAAATTATGAAACCTTTAAAGTTTATTTTTAGCATTACTCTCTGCGAAGTAGTAACGAGCATTTCAAGCACGTTAAATGGGTCATGGTAAAGTACCACAATCAGTGCTCACGGAACTTTTCTGGAAAAGTTGGTGATTAATGGTATCAACTTTCAAGATGTTTGCGAGGGCATCAAAACTTTATTACTTAAGGCGATGCTGTACAACGGTACGTTTATTTGGGGACCGTCAGAGGTACGGATTGGTGTTAGATATTGAACAAACCATTTGCGATTGAGTGGATTTAATTTAAACCTTTTCCGCTTTTTCCGTACACGCGCTGATTTAACAGTCTTAAATATTCAGTTGAGTTATTTTACTAAAACAAAAAAAATAATTATGCACTGTCATGAACTCAACAAACGATTATTAAAACTTACGTGCAATTCCATTTAGGGCAACAAGCTAGAGGATCAACAACAAGATGGCAGTCATCTCCTGAGGCGGGATTACTGGACAGTGTCAGGAGGGTGCAATCTTTCTGAAGATCAAAAAATATAAAAAATAGACTTCTACCATTTGTTGCAAAAACAAGTTTTAATTCTTTTAAAGGATAATTTACTACTCACCCACACTCCCTTTCGGACAGGCACTCGCCAATATCAACTTCCCGGCAGTTTGGGACGGGCTGCGGTACACATTCTCTTTAGTGATGTTCAGTATACCAACCTGCGTGCATACTCTCCTAGTACACTCGTCACTTTCCCACGTGTGTGCAGGCTTCATGATAACCGTTCTCAATTGTCGGTGCAACACTGCAAGAAAAACTTTAGTACGTGGTTCAAAGAATTCATGGAAAGGGGGTCACTGATAGTGAGGGGGAACCCCTAAGGGGTATTTATTTTTTGGGGTCAAGATTTGCGGGCTTAAAGGAATTTATTTTTAAAAATAGAAAATGCCCCCAAAACAAAGGAATCCTCATTCCTTTACTTCTGACGGGCACTAGAAAGGAAACTAAAAATTGGCCAAAGATTGATGGGAATGGAGGGGTAATTGAATTTTTGCGATTTTAAATTGGTTACGTATAGGTTTAGTTAACTTTCCCCCAAAGCAGTACAGACTCCACAATTCCACTTCTTAAATTATGGTTAATAGTAACCCCCTCTCTCCCCCCCCCCTGAAAATAGCTTCTGGGGCTAGCCCTTCAAAAAAGTTCCCCAAAGTCACTGAAGAACCCACCCCTTTTGACGGGTGTTTAAATATCAAAAAAATGAAAACTTCCACGTGGGGTGCCTTTAACCTAGTACGACCCCCCCGAAACTAAGTTCATATTCAAAGGGGTAAAAAAGCTTTCGTATTTTAAGTTACTGCAAAAGTAACGTTTAAAAAAACAAATTTAAAAATATAGAAAAGGGATGATTTAATCATAGAATTTAAAATTTTTGTAATTTAAAAATGCCCGAGTGTTTTTAAGCAAATTTTTCGCTCAGAGCGCGCAATGAACTTTTGGGAAATATTTTCCCTTTTTTTTTTCCACCCGCTTATTTTAAACTGCAGTTTTTCAATTTTTTTTTTTGCTTTAAACCCCTTTAACTCCAACATCGGGGCCGGCAATTTATTTTTCATTCTGCTCTTTTAAAGGGGCTAATTTTTTTTAGGTAGGAAGGGAAACAAAAAAAAAAAAAATTCACAAAAATGCTTATTTTAGTTATGATTTTCACAGCTGCATTCAAAATTTTTTGGATGGAAATAGGGGTTTATTTAACAATTTGCCCTTATATTTATATGCTACTTGCATAAAAACTCAATTTTTGGGAAATTCTAATTTCAGTCAAGAACGAACAAAAGGACATGAAACGCGAGTGTAGGCCGACAAAATTCTCAGCTCCTTTAACCCGTAAACGGTTCCAAACATACATGTATACGTTTTTTCAACATTTAAATGTAAAAATTTGGGTTTTTTTTTTTTACATTTGAAAAATTAAAAAATGTAGATTTTACTTTTGTAACTACACATGTGAACGTAGTTCTGCAAGGAAACCCGACTTGCTAGGTTGTATTACAGCTAAAATTATGATTAGCGGTTCTGGGAAGGGACAGGCCGCTTAAGTTCAGTCATTAAAGTCTGCAGACTAAATTTCACTCTGTACACTAAAGTATTAAGCAATACTATTAAGACTAGTTGAACTTTTTTCAACGTAAAAAAAAAAGTCACCAAGTGATATTCTTTAAACAGTCCCCCGAACCTACAAATTAGGTACCATAAGGAAGTGTCTTAAAAGGGGGGGGGGACTAACACTGCAAGCCATGACTGTACATCCCCCTTTTTTTCTAACTGTAATCAGTAAAGTCTTTTTAAAAAAGTTTTTGACCCATTCATCAATAAAAGTTTTTGATGGGAAGTAAATGATAAATACCGA